GTTTTAATATTTTAGCAAGAATTACACTGTGGGATTTTAGCATTGCAACAATGTTTTGGTTAAGTTCGATGTTGTTCCTAGAGTTTATTAGACAATCATGTTCAAGATAAACTAAAATAATTGAACTTTGGCGTTTACAAGTGAACTAATTCAGTCTGCCAGTTCCCTTGTTTTTTTATTTTTTGTTTTTCCAATTGAGCACATCACAATCTTCCCCTTGTGATGGCAAGGGAGTAGGTGTTCTTTTTTTGAGTTTTTTACTCAGAAGAATGTGACTCCTGCATTTGGTGCTGGGTGATGTAAATTCATCAGTATGTGCCTTTGCATTTTCAATGTACTCTATAAATTCACTCGTGATCTTTGCATTTTCAATGTACTATGTTCAGTGACATATTTGCAATATGTTATGATGTGCTTGAAGCACATAGTTATTTAGTCCTTCACAATGTGATTATGATGCGATTATTATAGGCCTTAATAATGTCATCTCATTCTATAAGTAATCGAGGATATACAACTCGACAATGCCCTAAGTGCAGTATAAATTGTGCTACGAAAGCATCGGCAAGCCCAAATAACTCGAACAAGATGAACTACAAATGTCTATTATGTGGGTTCTTCCAATGATGTGATGAATATGTTACCGTCGTGCAAAATGTCAATTTAAGGTATCACAATACATAACAATAAACTCCAATGGATGAACCAGAAGAACGTGTCATGGTCAATCAAGAAAGAAGTGTTGGCCATGATACGATACTCGGTGCCATAGAGCGTTTGCAACAATTCTTACTCGGTGCCTTTGGGCGTTTGCAACATTTTTTGTATTTTTTGTGTATAATAAATGTGTGCTTGCTTTCGCTCTTCTTTTTTATTTTGGTAGTCCTTATTCGAAACACATGAGATAGTGTTTTGGGGTTGCCTTTTTACTAATATAATTATTTCCATTGTATCATTCAACTCGTTCACCTATGATTCAACTCGTTCACCTATGATGGTTCATGTTGTAGTTGTGGAATTCAAATCTCTCCCTCTCTCTCTCTCCTCTCTCTCTCTCATCCGTAGAGAGAGTGAGATTGCTCTCTCTTATTCACTTTTGAAAATTTTGCACGCGATGATTCCAAGGATCTTAGAGAGAGAGAAAGAAAGAGAGAGAGAGAGAGTGATTGATGAGTCCAAGTGTAGCCTTTGTGTGAACCATTGGGCTATGGTAGCTTAATGTTTTTGCCAGATGATGAACTTATATTGTGAATGAACTTATAGGGATGCAAGGAAGATGCATATTTGTTTCCAAAAACGTAAGAACATAATCAATAAAAACTTAAGAAGAAAACAGAGAAGGCATAACAAATTTGATATAATTTTTAGCATGTTTGAAATATGAATTTGCCCAAAACAAGATAACCCCCAAATATAAATGCCAATGTTCCAACAATTGTCTTGAGCCATTTTACGTAGTTGCAAGTACAATGTTGTACCTCCAGGTTATAACAAACAAACTTAGATACATACAACTAAATTGAGATGAAAGAATCCAACAAGTCAATAAACCTTGCACAACGTTTGTCCATGAGCCATAATGCTACAATCTTATCATCAAAAAGAGCTAATCATGACTTTTGACATAAGCCACATAGTTTTCCAGCCCACTTCTAATTGCACATGAGTGAACAACGACGTCCATTCTCCAATGCTTGCCACAATTCTTGCACTAGATCAACAAGTGTATGTCACCTAATTGCCACAAATAGCCCCAAGAAATAGTTAGCATGTGCACAAATGGGTTCATTGTCCAAACCTATTAAAGGAAGACAAGGGAAACATATCAAAACCAGTAAGCAGGTGCTAAAATCAATACTGGATGTAAGTTTAAAATGCACCAAGATGGAACTTACATCCATCAAATCGACTTTACACTGCATCAAGTGTCCAAATTGGCTTTGCATTAAAAATTATGTACCACTTATCAATGCTATACAAGGATTTAATTCTAATGATCAATTACAATGTCTGGTTTCATCAAAATTTAAAAGACCGATCAATTACAATGTTTGAATTTTATTCTAATGATCAATTACAATGTCTGGTTTCATCAAAATTTTATTCTAATGATCAATTACAATGTCTGGTTTCATCAAAATTTAAAAAACCGATCAATTACAATGTCTGGATTTTATTCTAATGATCAATTACAATGTCTGGATTTTATTCTAAAGATCATAGAACCTAAAGGCAAACAATTTCAACAAGAATTGAGCAAATACTCATAAAAGCAAGCCTCCCAAAACAAACCGAACCATTTCAAGGAGAAATTACAAAAGGTCCATTTAAAATGTCGATTGCATTCTGTAAAAGATCTTGTCACAATCTACTGCCTCAATCCAAAAACCATACAAGAAGATAATAAATGAGAAAAATTTTCCATAAACCCATTGTTTAGGGTGCTGAGTCCTGCACTATAAACAAATTTGCATACCTCCACCAATCAAGAGAAAGAACAAATTCTCAAAGAAACATCAATTCATCAAAGAATTGCATAATTGCTCCTGCCAAAGTATATCTCAAACAACAAACTATTAAATGAGGGATAACTGATATTTAGATGGATATCAAGAGAGATAACTGATACACCAATATGATTTTCAGTGGAAAAATTGGATCCCAATCTAAAAAAAGATACAACCATGAAATTAAGACCCTAAAATTTCACCATGAAACAAGGGAAAATTCAATGACATGGATACAACCACAAAAGCATGAAAATTTGAATGCAATAAAATTTCTTACAATGCAAATTCAATGCAACAAATACTTGTTTACTTATTACAGTGCAAAACACTAAAAATTCTTACCATTACTCGTGTTCCACATTCTCACATGACCCATCTGTACATCTTTTATTGACATTTAACCTAAACGAAGAAAAACCATTTCAAATATTTATAATTAAGAAATTCATATTATCATCACAAAGAGTATGAAAGATAGAGCAATAGATCATTCATACATTGAACGTGAGACAGCTGAGCAATTCCTTATGTCATGTTCACTCCCTTTGAAAACTGTGCACTTTCGGGTAACTTCCTTCTCTTTTGCTTTTGCTTTCGCTTTCGCTTTCTCTACCTCTATCTCTGCCCGAAGTATATATCTATCATTGGTAGGTCTCCCTTTGTTCGTGCTCGAGGAGACTCAAGGATGTTATGGCATGCATGCACGTCACACCCCAAGAATTTACAATACTGATATTCCTGAGATGTGGCAGTCAAAACATATATACATCTCTTGATATGACAAATTTACAGTGGCGAATACTTACAAAGTAACAAACGAAAGCTTAGGCACAATTACAATATCTTCCAAAGTTTCCCTTGACGAGTACTCAAAATGAAACCGCAGTTATCCTGAAAACTGTTTACCATAGTTTGATGAGTTTGGCTACTCAGTAAGTGCTCATCATAATCCTAAAAAAATAATCATGATTGAAAGATATAAACGAACTTTCAAAATGGAGGTCAATTTAAAAACAATGTGAGCACAAGCATTTTCAGAAATGCACAATTAAACATAATCCAAATCATTGAAATGCATGTATGATTTAACGGCAGTGCATAATTCAAAGATTCTACAAAATTACCCTACTGGCGTCCCAAGTTGGTCACCTATATACCCCATCAGCGTCCTGATGGGTCCATTTAATCCCTTTTGGCGTCCCAGATAGGTCCACTTAATCCCTGCAGGTCCACTTATACCCCACCGGCGTACCGGATGAGTCCACTTAATCCCTACCGACGTCCTGGATAGGTCCACTTCTACCTCACCGGCGAACCGGATGAGTCCACTTGCATACTTAAAGTATTTCTAAATCTCTTTAAACA